TTCTTTATGTGTTTTCAGACTGGGCCCTTTCATCTAGTTTCTTCTCCCCTGACCACCTACAATCAGCAGCTGTGGCTCACATGTGTGATGCAGGCTGAAAACAGCAAAAGTAAGAGACCACAGATTGAGCTTTTTACAGTTTTGTGTTGGGGTGGAGACAGCTTTCTCTTTTAGTATAATATGCGTAACACCACGTAACACTACTGTTATTTGTGCTGTCAGTGAGAGATTTCAAGCAGCCCTTTGAGATCAACGTTGAGTTGAAGGGAGTGATGCAGGATGCCAGCGTGATGCACATCAACAACGGGCGCATTAAGTCACGGATGCTGCACTGCGCGGCTGCTGTAAGTATCGGTCAGCCTGCTCTCACAGCAGTGTGTGTGTCAGAGAAGACAATTTTAGATGCACATTTAAGAAGTAGTGCAGATGGTTATTGAGCATGTGTTGTTTTGCTTTTTTCTTTTTGTCTCACCTCACAGAATTGCGATGAGATCATTGTACTGCATCTGGGCTACCTGAACTACACCCAGTACCAGGTTATGGTGAGCTTCAAAGGCCTTGAAAATATCACATATGACATCAAGGTTAAGTTTGTGGTAAGTTAAAAAGATCCCAGGTTTTTTTGTTTGTTTGTTTGTTTTTTAAATTGCTCAAGGCCTCAAGTAACTCGCATGCTTTTGAACTCCTCTCTCTCTTGCTCCCCTGTTTTTCCCTCTTCAGTGGAAAACATATAATTCCACCTTCTCACAAGTGGAAATTTGGTTCCGGTTTGTCTTTGTGGTATTGACCTTCATGGTGACCGTAAGAACATGATAATTTTTTTCCCATTCAGTTTGATCTGCACATTCTGTCCTGTTATAGCACTTAAAACCAAAAGCTTTTTCCAGATGGGATAACTGATGGTACTTTTTCCTGTTTGTGCCAGTGTATGTTTGCTCACTCACTGAGGAAATTTTCCATGAGAGACTGGGGGATAGAGCAGAAGTGGATGTCTATTCTTCTCCCTTTGTTGCTGCTCTACAATGGTAAGTTTCTCTTCTCACTTGAGGACACATTTTACCTGTCACTTACACACCTGGAGCCGATTGCACCAACTCAACAAACAAAAGCTGGAGTTTCCCAGGGCTGTCTTTTGTCTTCTATTCTGTTCATAATTTTGACAGACAGCGTTTCTACATGTGCCCAAGGGGAAGGAGGGGATCGATTTCAGTGGTCTTGCATCTTATCTCTACTTTTTTGTGGATGAGCTGGTCCTGTTGGCTTCATTGTGTGACAACCTCCACCTTGCACTGGGGCAGTTTGTAGCAGGGATGAGGATGAGGACCTGCAAGTCTTGAGGCTGTGGCTCTCAGCTAGATAGGGGTGGTGGGAGATTGATAGGTGGATTGGTGCATGAGTCTGCCGTGATGCAGTATATTATGGTGACAGTAGAGATGAGTGTGATCTACCGTTCTACCTACCCTCATGTATGGTTATGTATGGTCACATGCTGTGGGTATTCAAGTACAAGTGAGGGACATGAGAATTCTCAGAGTATTGTCTGGGCTCTTCCTTAGAGATAGGGTCAGGAGCTAAGTCATTTGAGAGGAGCTAAAGAAAGAAGAGCTGTTGGAGTGGCTGGACAGAGGGTGTAAAGTGCCCCCTCTGGATAAGTGGGAGAAAATGGATATAACTAAATTAAAATACGTTTCCACTTACAAACATTATATCTGAGTTGTAGAGACTAGTTGCCATTTATATATTTTTTATTTATTTATGCATGTGTATTTAAAGTTGTAGAGAGCTGACTCTTACAAACAGGTGATATGAAGCGTGGTGAACACGTCACCTGACACATTACAGAAACATAAATCATCCAATAAGAACATTTGGGTAATAATTTCTATAAGAAAACATACACCTCTCTGTGTACACACTCAACAGTTTGTTTGTTTTCATCGTTCAGATCCTTTCTTCCCGCTGTCATTCCTGGTGAACAGCTGGTTTCCAGGGACCTTGGACACCTTCTTTCAGGCACTGTTCCTGTGTGCTCTGCTGCTCTTCTGGCTTTGTGTTTATCACGGCATCAGAGTCCAGGTGGGTACAGTATTAATCTGCAGCTTCAGTGATTTCCTTCCATTTTTAGCACACCAACATGAATCTTTTATCTTGGTGTTTTGCTTCTGCAGGGTGAGAGGAAATTTCTGACTTTCTACCTGCCTAAGCTGGTTATCGTCGGTCTTCTGTGGCTGTCAGCAGTTACTCTGGGCATATGGCAAACGTAAGCACGACCTCCAGACAGAACCCAGCTCATTGAACTTGTGATTTATATGCATACCGAACAAGCAGACTAAGCTTTACTCCATCTGAATTTTCAGGGTTAATGAACTCCAAGATCCCACCTATCAGTACAAAGTGGATATAGCGAACTTTCAGGTAAGACTGTTACCGTTAGCACTTCTTTAAACAGCTTCTTATAAAGTGAAAGCTGAAGAAATTTCTTATCCAGTGTGTAATGTGTTATCTGTAATTTGTCATTTAAAAGACTAAAGTTTATAAATTTTTGTTCATTTTAATTTGATTAATGTCCTTATGGATAGATATTACATAGAAATAGCTTCAGGTCTACTTTCATTTATTTTGAGCCCTTTGTTATTTTTTTAAAGGGTATGAAAGTCTTCTTCCTGATTGTCGTCGCCCTCTACATCTTATACTTGATATTCCTGATTGTCAGAGCTTGTTCTGAACTTAAGAACATGCCTTACTCAGGTATCAGAGCACACCACAACTCTCAGCGTTCGATTCGACTTCAACTTTTAATGTAAAAGTGTTAACCAGCTGTCTCTTCTCGATCACCAGATCTCCGGCTCAAGTTTCTGACAGCGCTGACGTTTGTGGTTCTTATTATAAGGTATGTTCAACAAAGAGCAAACTTTTTTTTTAACGTTTTCACTATTTCTGTGTTTCTGATTAACCTCTCTTTCTCCCGCAGCATGGCTATTCTCTACCTGAGGTTTGGTGCTAAGGCTCTTCAAGACAACTTTGTTGCTGAATTGTCCACCCATTACCAGAACTATATCCTTTGACTTGTATTCATTTGTGCACATTTGCATCACAACTTGGCATATTTATTGGTTCATGAGGTTGAGTGGGTTGTCCTCTAAGGCCAGTGGTTCAATTCCCACGTCCTCTAGTCTACATGTTGAAGGATCCTTTGGCTAGATACTGAACCCTGATTTGAAAAACATGCTGGATGTGTGTGTGAATGAGGCTTGTAGTAAAGAAAGTACTATGAGTGTTCAAATAGCGCTATATAAGTACTAGTCCATTTGATCATCACTGTTCCTTAATTCAAAACATACCAGCTGAATTTTTGTCCTTCTATGGCCTGCTCAACTTTTACTTGTACACATTAGCATTTGTGTATTCTCCTTCGAAAAATGCACTTTATGGTGAGTTAGATAGAAGTTTCTTTGTTGCTCATTTATACCAGCACGCTTTTCCAGCATGCTTTTTTTTTTTAAAATTCAAATTTTATGTTGAATTTCCCAGACTCCCAGTTGAAGGATAATCCAGCTTTCTCCATGCTAAATGACTCAGACGACGAAGTGATATACGGGTAGGTGTTTTATCTACTCGCCTTTCAAATCCTTTTTAATTGTGCAGAGTAAACTCAGTGTAAGCATACTAGACCCCCTGATATTTTTCTTGTTTTTTTTCAGAAGTGATTATGAAGACATGCCTTTACAAAACGGGCGTGCGATCAAAGCAACTGCCAAGTACCAGGATGAGAGTGACAGTGACTGAGGTATCTCTGACTGTGTCCACGTTGGAAACTCTTGTGCACATGTACAAAAAGGATGCACATGAATTTATGTACTCCAAAGTGTACATAATTATATTTTTAAAACGGTTCATGTCTACTGAATGTACTGCTTTTGGATGGTGAGGTATGATGTAGCCACTCAGACTTTTTTTCTTAATTGAAAATAAGGGAAACAAACACTTTGTTTTAATCTATAAACCGCCTACCCTCACCTACCCATTGCCAGCCTTTTTTCTCAACTTGATGATTAAAATTATCAGGAAAAAGGACTCATATTAACCAGGGATGTTTCTGTGAAATCATCATTTCTTCATAATTTCTTTTTCCTTTAAAAAAAAAAGAAAAAAGCCTTGTATTAAACAACCGTTGTCTTTCTTGTGTTAATGCCATTTCTTTCCACTCTGGGAACAATGGGAAGTCACTTATCTGGTCAGAGCTGAGTGACATTTACAGGTAATGCTGCATCTGCTGCACATGAGCTTCTTAAAGTAGATACAGTGTGGCTCGCTTGTCCTGACACGACATGTAAACAGGGAGTCTGCTGTCTTCAAGACGCTGAATACAGAGAGCCTTAAACTCGACCGCTGGTACCACTCACTATTTCTACTTTTGGCAAAGCAGCTATATGTAAATGCACTTTTCAAGAATTTTATTTATCTTGCCAAAAAAGTGATGACACTGTATTTTGTGACACATTGCATGTATTTTCTCACAGCAGTATAATGGACTACAGACCTATCATGTTAAATGTTTCTTTATCCCAGCATGTACAGTAGTTGTTGGATTGTTTTGAAGCAAACTTTTTTCCCCCAGCAGCTTTGCCCATATTTCCTTACAATGTGGGAAACTGTGCCATTTTTTTCAGTTGCCTAAAGCTGGAGGTCAAGTTGACAAATTGGCCAAAACAAATGTATTTCTCTTCTCTGTAAATATATATTTTAACCAAGATGGTGCCTTGTCTCTACATCACCCAATTTTCTTCTAAATGGGACTGCAATCTTAAGAATTGTAAGTGCTTCAAGATTAGTGTACATGTCTGATTCTTTCAGTGCAAGTGTAGCTTTTGTTAGTTTAAGGTGGTTAAACTGGGTGGTTTTTGGTGTTTAAAAAATACCTGCAATATTTGTTGCTTCAAAAGATAAAGCTTGTACATGTAGCAGTATCATGTCATGTTGTGTAAATAAAACTATGTACATAAGGCACATCTGTTTTAATAAATCTCTCTTAACACACAAGATGAACATATCAAAATCCCAAAACAAACAGCGGGAGTTCTCAAAAATGTGGACACAATCACTGGGTTTGGTGATGTAGGTTCAGATGGCGAGCCCGAATACACTGACAATGCAGTACACAGACTTGTTCTCCCATCTCACTGTACAGCTTCCTGTTGGGTATAACATTACATTATATCAGTAAGTAGCGGAGTTAAATTTATACCATCAAAGAAAATAAGGGGTTAATTTTCTCACAGAAAACTAAAAATATAAATCATGAATCAGTTATTAAGATGATCAGTTCCTCTGTATTCATCTTTACTGTTCTGAGCCCTGATTAAGCCTCTACATCAGGGGAGTTTAGATCTGAATTTGTCTTTTAATTAGCAAATCATGTGCAAAACATGATTAACAGCCTGAGATATCAGTTGTTCAGTTCTGTTTTAGTTCAAAAGTTTTAGTATTAGGACATGATAAAAATAACTGGGTCCTTAGCAGCTTCTAAAATGATGTAAATACAAGTTCAGATGAAGAACAACTGATGTGCTTCTCCATGGTATTACTGGAATTTGTCCTCCTCAACATTGTAATAACGAAACTGCCCAAACCTGCTCGGGCAGAGATTTGGGCATCACACTTGCTGATCATTGCAGTTGCTGATGATCAGTTAATGAAGTGTATTTGATTATTATACTATTGATACTATTACACTCTCTTAAAGCATAAATAAATGTATGCAGCAAATATGTACTTAGTATTTTACATTCTCCTGTTGCACTTGCGCTTAGTTTTTATTAAATCACTGTATTGCTGTTCATCTGAGGTTGTACTGAAATACAATCTAAACAGTCACACGCACAGTCTGGGACGCAAATCCTTTCATTGATAAACCAATAACTTAAAAAAAGAACACATTCTACATGAGAAATACACAAGTGTTTTTGTCTTTACCATCGGTAGAGTTGTCCCAGAAGCATGTGCTGGCTGTTTGCATACCTGCTCCATTTTTCTGCATGATGACACAGGTTACTAACAGAACAAGAGAAGATAATAAGATTAAAAAAAATACATTGGGAAATTCCTTTGTTGTAGCAGAGAAACATAAATTGCACATTATTTTATAGCACTTAGAAGTATAAAATAAGTCCATAAAATAAAATTCAGCATGAAATAATACTAATTTGAAATAAAAATAAAATGCATACAATAAAGTCAAATGTGTTTAAAAAAATCCAGATAAAACAGAATTAGAAATCCAGTAAAAACATATATATTGTTTTTTAACGTCCACTGAAAACCACAAGAGACACAAGGTGGTTATTTCACGGGTAGGAGTCCACATACAAATATATTTGAAAGGCTTTCCCAGCTTGCTGAGCTGACTGAGGCACTGCTCCACTATACTGGTGGTCCACTGGTTCACTCGGTTGTGCTGGTAGGCATTTCCTCCTATGGTTGCTTCCACCGACTATACAGACATTTTTTAATCATTAAAAAAAACAAAGTAATCAACACAGTAATCAAACAGCTTACAATAAGTCTTATACAGCTATTATTATTTTTAAAAGGTAATAAAATTAAGACTTTTAATAAAAGTTTTCCTCAAGGAGTGAATATGGTAGGGCAAATTAGTGGAGTACTGTATAACTGTTCAGTTAGAGACATTGCCTAGCAACCGCTACCGTGCCCTTAGCAACCGGTCATTCCTACACACAAATTTGAAAGTCAAGGCCCGATAGAACCTAAACTCGAGCTTTTTGGGGGTGAAACTAAAAATACCAACACTGCCAAGGGTTGTTTTTAAAAAAAACAACAACTTTTTTTTTTTTTTTACCTCTTTTATGATTGTGCTCACGTCTTCAACGACGAACCCAGCCTGTTGAATGAAAAAAGCGCCGTTAAAGCTAGCTAGGCGACACAGCCTTCTAACCACACTTTCAGGGAAACGTAGTCTGCACGCGAATTCAAAGTATGTGACAGGAAAAACGTGCAACAACAACTAGTTTCTATGAACAAACCCACCTCTTCTTCTATCTGATAGTCCATGGCTTCGGCCTCCCGGAGCAACCTAGATATATCACTTCCGGTAGGTTTCCTTCACAATAAATGCGTATCCAGAAGAGAGAAAATTGTACAGGGAGGTATCAACAGGCGTTAATTCATCGGAAAACACAAGTATTTACAGAAATAATATCAAAGAAACAAAGAAAAGAAAGAAAAAAACCCAAACATTTTTTATAAAAATGACGAAAAATGACATTATTATTATTATTATTATTATTATTATTATTGTTGTTGTTATTATTAATTTTCATGATGCTTCAAGTCCATTTCTGGATGGGAGCATGTGTTACTCTAAAACCTTTTCATACCGTTCAGCGGTAATCGTACCCACAAATACATTTTCCTTGTGGCACGATATAATGGGAAAATAAACAGGTTAAGCAACGGTATAAGGAAGAAAAGTTGGTAGCACGTCCTTTTGATTTTAAAGGCAGCAACAAGTCTCAAAAACGTTGGAACAAGGGCAAGGAAAGGCTGAAAAAGCAAGTGGTACTAAAGAGGAATATCTGGAGGAACATTTTACAACTAATGAGGTTAAGTGACAGGTCAGTAAAATGACTGATTATTGTGTTAACTTTACATAAACTGCTTTTGCAAACTTGTTTTTCTATAGTTTTCCTATAGTTAATCCTACTTTTTTTTATTTGTTTGTTTTTTGTGTGTTTTCTAACCTAAGGGTGTTTTGCTAACTGTTAAAAAAGGTAAAGTGTAAAGAATGTATTCGCTTTTCTTTTGTTTGTTTGTTATGTTGTTGTTTTTTTAAAAATAGCACTGGGGTTAGTTCGTTAAAGTAATACAAATGCAGAAAAGATAAACCAAGACTTTCAACCTCCAGCTGCAAGTTTTCTCAGACTTGGCCAACTTCACCCTTCTCAGAAATACCCAGGAAAGCCATTACCCTGTCAGGCTTTGGGAAGAGTCATTTCACACCAAAGTTACAAAAATGCAGAAATAATTGTAATTTATTTAAGCTAGTTTTGTATGTCCACTTCCATGGTTAGAAACTGCTGCAAATCCAGTGTCAGTACTCTACAGTAGATTACTGTGGTCTAGAGTAGACTTTGTGCAGTTTTCTGTCTGTACACCTGAGGGTGGAAGTGTGTCTTTGTGTAACCTTAAACAATCATAGACGTGTTTATTTGATTTTCGTCGTTTCATTTCAACGCACGATACTGGTATTATAATTCTTTCATCTTCTAATTATCATATTATGAAAACAATTATAACGCCAAGAAAGTTATAAAAATGAATTGAAGACGCTCCGTCTCAACGACCGCTGATTGGACTGCAGGCGACCACCTGATTTTGAATCTCATTAACCGGCATGCGCTGACCGGCGTTTCAGAAACTAAAGTGTCGTCATATATGTGGCGCCGTTTAAAAACTGAAACATGCCGACCATAGTTACATTGTGATGTTTCGGAGGTAAAACGTCAGTAAAACATGACCTGTCCTCTACCATTTGTTAGAAGGCGACTGTGTTCTTCATTGTAACCATGACTTAGAGTTGCAGTAAGCAGAATGAGTCGTTTCTGTCGTGCGATATGTGGGTATCGCTTCTCGGCCTTTTGGCTAAGATCAAGTGTAGTATCTGTTCTTATCAGGGGGACGGGGTAAAAGGGAGTTATAAGTGCTTGGAAAACGTGACTTATGATGAAATCACCTCGTTCGGGGTTAAGGGAGTGGGAAAAGAGCAATATAAAGTACGTTGTATGCTGTTATCAATTGTAAAGCTTAAATTATGGAAAGCAAGACAGGGTTTCATAACGGGGGTGTATAAATGGGGAGAAATTGGAACAGTTAAGGCAATAGAGAAAGAATTTGAAGGTATATATTGGCACGAACTAGAAAAGTGGGGAAGTGACACAATTAAGGATAGGTGGAAAGCTTTTTTTTTAAACCCACCCAAAAGAAGGTGGTAAGAGACAGGGAGCGAGATAGTAGGTATGTGTTGGTTGTTATTGTTTATCA